GCAGAACTTTTCAGTATTCAAAGCATGTGTAATATGAAAATAAATTTATTGCTGACAATATTTCACTGTGTTATTTGAGATTTTGAACATTTACTGTACTAAATGTACACTGTCTATTTGTAGTATAAATACAACCAGTGTGCCAACTGGACAGTTTTGCCGTGACCATCCCTGAGGGTGGCATACGTAAGTCTTGGTGATACTGAAGTAATGGGATGTTGTTAATTACAGTTTGTATTCTGGTAATACTGTTAGAATGTAACTTGGGGAGGGATTGGATCTGACTTTTTGACAAATGCTGTTTGGGGGAAGGGAAGGATTTAAATGTCTATTTTAATTACAGAAAAATGTGGGTGGGTGTTCAAATAAACTTGTTTCCTAATATATACATCCACATACATGCTAGTTCTTTAACTATTTTATTTACTTTTTTAATTTTGTTATATGACATGTGTGAGCATTTGTTTATAATATTTAGTAACTTGCAATAGATTGTATGTATCAAAAGCAATGAGATCAAACAATCAGATCAAACTGTAGTATCCAGGGTTTGATTCTGGGATTTTTTTTTTAAATTATTTCTTTGATCTTGTACATGAAAAACAAATATAAATGAACTTGAAAGATTTTTGGATGCATATTGGTTTTTTAAATGTTTTGTTTTGTTTTGTTGGGTTTTAGTTTTTTGGCAGGTTTCAGTATGTGCTTCCCAGGGAACTGTACAACACTGCTTGGAATAAAGGTGCAGACATACAAATCTGTGAAAAAGGTATAAATGTTGAATAAAAATATTAGTACTTAGCAAGTCAAATGGTTATTTTACCGTTATCTTTCAGTTTATTAGTAGTTGTTGTTATGGCTGTTAGTGGTGGTTACAATTTTACTTGGAATGCTTATAACATGCTCCCTACTGCCACCATTACTTGTTTCTTTTAGTGGCACCTTGTAATTCATAATTCACTAACAACACAAGTACTGTTTTATGATTTGTTTAATACTGTTATCTCTAAACAGAATCTTTAGCACTCAGTCCATTGGCTGTTAAATGCTGCTTTGGGGGCTTAAAAAGTGCCTTAAGTCTGATCCCTTATTCAAGAAGTTTCTTAAATTCTGCGTTAAGAAAATACCTGTCTTCTTTCCTAGGAGCAAGCCATGAAACCTAAACATCCTGGGATTCTGTTTGAATGTCTGGTCTTTACTGTCAGGGCACGTGACATGAGTCATTCAAGATCCAGTTCAGCTGTTACTATTAATTAATTTTAATAATTTTTCTTGAATCATTCTCTTCCATAATTTATTAAAGTTAATTGTTAGAATGTGTCTTAACGGTATCTTGCATTTACATAAAAGAGATCTGGAGCCTCCATCGAACATAAATGCCAAGTGTATTAGCTTCTGACTGTGTTTGGAGACGTGATTGCTAGTTCGTGCTTTATTTACTCAGGAACACTAATCAGGTTTCTTTGGCAGAAATAGCGAATGTGTGTTTGTAAAGGTCATTCAGTTTGTTCCTAATGGTACCAGCTCACAAGACTTCAGAAGGTCTCTCTCCTTCCAAGCTGCTCAGCCATGCTCGCTACAGCCTTGCTGCTGCTGGGTGTTGTTACCCAGGAGCTGTGCTAAAACCACTCTTCAGGAGCGATTTCCTGAGGTTGGTACGGCCTGAAATCCCCGTGCTTTCAGAGGCCTGTCCGCACCCGGCTGTCCCAGACGGAGGGTGGAAGAGCAGCCACGGGCGGGCCCTCCATGGGTCCCTCACGCCGGTGCAGGTCGGGCCGCACCCACAGCCCCAGAGCCGGTGTCTGTCCCGGGCTGGCGGCTGCACATCACTCCGGCAATCCATGGAGGCCTGTCCGGAGGGCGTATGGTATATGGAAATACCAGCAGTGGTATTACAGTCTTTCTTAGCTGGTCCCCAAAACCTCAATCTTCCCTCAACTATTAATAGTGCTCGTGTCCCCATCAGGTCCCTCATAATTCCTAAAAGCACAATGGCTGGAGTCACACACAGTTTCCTGGAAAAATTAAGACTTTATGTTAGGGTGGGGTTGGCTTTGTTTTGTTTTCTTCAGAAAACAAGAATCATTGTAAACAGGTGTGTCCACAATTCTCTTCGGAGCGGGAGGGTGAGGCCGGGCAGGAGGTGGGCCGGCCGAGGTTCCTCACACCGCTCCGCCGGGCCGGGGCTGCAGCTCCCGCCCTCAGCTCGGCAGCGGGGCCGGGCCGGAGGAGCGACGCCGGCAGCAGGTAGGAGAAGGCGGCCCTGACCGTGGTCCGACCTGCGGGAGATCTTGCGGGTCCCATGCCCTGAGTGCCTCGCGGGGCCCGGGAGGCTCCGAGCGGGCTCTCGGCCCCGCGGGAGGCAAAAAGTGCCTACGGGCCAAAGCGGGAGAGACCTTTTTTGGTGCCGCTTTCTGCACAGACCTGTTTCCAAATAATGCCATGAATTACTCTAACTAGAACGGTTAATGAGCAAATTGTGTCATTTTCAGCGCCTGCTAAAGATTCTTCCCGGTTTGGATTGTTAGGCTGCACAGGTGGGGGCAGTCTGTATCTCAGCAAAGAGTCCTGCAGCAAACTGGCAATGAGGGGTGGAGGGTAACGGTGCTGCTTCGCAGGTGAAGATGTCTATAAGAAAGTCCCATTGTGTTGGCAGAGCTTTTGTAATTTTAGTAAAGCAGTGCGTCCTGATCTAGTGAAAAAGTAATTTGGCAAGAAAAAAGGTCAGAGGTGTTTTATCTGGGTTCTTATTCATGTTCAGTACTGTCATACCAGTGTCTACCCCCTGGGGCACAGACCCCACCTGTATCCCTGTAATGGAACAAGTCGGCCTTCCCACCCTCGGACAGCTGGGGTTGCTCCAGGGTTTGCCATTGTTTACCTTGCTGCTGGTTATACCATGAGTAATGTAGAATCCATGAAGGGGGAGCTAAAGTTGAACTGGGAACAGGTAATGAGCTTTCAAGACTGGAAAAATATTAGAAAACATCCCTTGCTCTGGGCTGAGCAATTTTTTTTGAAGTATATGTGAAGTATATGTTACTTCACTATTTTAGAAATGAACCTTTTGCAAAGAGTTGCCAGTTAAATAACGCATCATTCCCTGACAAGTCACACTGTGCTGTGGTTAACGTATCATTTTGTTGCAGTCTATTTATTGGAGATGAGCAATGAAGAGAACTCTTAACTGTATATACTTCAGCTGTGCAGGGACACCAGTTTTATCATGCTGAAGTGCGTGAGCTCAAAATCACATGTGTACACTCCACATGTAATCTGAGTTGTTTAATAACCAATGTGTTTCCTTTAAAGTAAGCTCTTGGCTGAAACAGTGCCACACAATGTCAAAGTTGCCGTGCTCTCAGTACCCTGGTCATCTGGTCACTAAGCAGGCAGTTTTTATGGGTGAATAAGCTTCAGTTAACATGGGCGTCTCTTGAGATTTTACAAACAATAATAATATTTTCCCTTTCTGCTACTAGGATTTCTACTTCTGTATTTTTGTATGTATGTTGATATTTGTACACACTACAACGGAGTGTGGTGTTCAAGTTGGTCAGGGCTCCTGAGGTCTGTTTTAACACTTCCAGTTATCCCTGGTTGTGATTTCTCTCTTACCATCATCCTTCTGTTCCTGCCTAGCACTGCCCTCTCTTTAACTGTGACTTCTCTTGCAGAAGCACCACTGGCCTGTTATTTCATTCTCTGTTACAAGGATCTATGATCAATCACTTTCCTTGATTTTACTGGACATTTAGCTCAGTAAAAACACAGAGCAATCTCCAATTACTGCAGAACTGACACTGAAACTAAGTGCTAGGGGACAGCCTCAGATGTTAGCCATAACTGAAAAGATTTGGGAATACTGTTGTTGCCGCTTTGAAGTGTGAGTTCAGCTGAGCTGCTGCTTCAGGTCCTTTTCCCTTGTTGGATACACCTCCAGGCCAAGGTGTGAATGGAGTCTGGATCACCAGATGAAACGTGTGTGCCTTGTGCCAATATCTCCCGTGTATTAGCTTGTGTTATAAAACCACCATGTAGCTGGATGTCTCTTGGAAGCACTAACTCATGCTTCCAACCCCAAACACCCATTTGTTTTGGGTTTGGGTATCATAGCTTGCTGTCTGTTATTTCTTGTCCTATGTCCCTCAAAGATTTATGTATTCTGTTTATTAATATATCAAAGTTGTAAACTATGCAACCACCCATCCCTTTGTTGAATGCTGATGAGAAACATTCCACGTCCCCAAAGGCTTCATATAAATAAAACAAGACAAATGCAAGATGAGGTGCAGGACAGCTGCTCACCACAGATGAAATAGATGTGAGATGGTTGCACAGTGGGTGGCGATATAAAGGGTACTCTCAAATTCCTGCGCAATGCAGTAGAACAGGTGGGGCAGACAGCTGTTTCTAAAGAGGGGTTTTTATAATTTAGCATCTTGCACAATGTATCACTGAGGCCACTTTGCCTCAGTTAATGTAACTCTCAGTACCTAAATCAAGCTATTTAACATTTCTTACATATGGGTCAAGAACTTGCAGTGCTTTTGAGTACTTTGTTCTTCAGATATCCCTAACATAGATACAAAGTACATGAAATACATTTTCTGGTTTGTGAAAATTTGTTTCAGAAATTTTGTGTAGAAGCAGTTGATTTGAACCCCTCAAATGTCTCCAATCCCTCTTATTTCCCTCTTGATTTCTTTGGGAAATACTTTTTTCTTTTTAAGTTTTAAAAGTTCTTTCTGAAAGGTATTTTTGCCTTTGAGCTCTCTGTTGCCTTTCCTATCTCTTTCATAGCACTATGCCAAACACAGCTAACTTGAACTTCTGCAAAAAAGATTAATAAATAGCATTTGCACTCATGTAGATTGGAAGCTTTGAGGAGTTACAAGCTACGTAACTGACCTGAATAGAAATTGTAACCCAAAATTGTATTTTGCCAGAGAATAGGCTCTTTTTAAATGGAAGCTGTTTTACAAAAATAAATATGAATGTGAGAGTTGAATTTCACTTATTTTATTCCACGATGAGGGGTTTCACAAAGGCTAGAAAGGGAGTCAGGGCTTCATAACATTGGTGAAGGGAAGTGCCCTTCATTCTCATCTTCTTGACCAGAGCCAGTGCATCTCAGGGCTGCCCTGTGGAGGGCTGCAGAAGGGATCTCTCAAGGTGAGGAGGGTTGTCTGCAATATTCATATTCTTTAGACAGTTCCATCTCCCTGGAAGAATAAAAATATGGAGGTAATTTAGTTGCTGTGACTTTGAAAGGATTTTATTATTTCTCAGTGGCAGCAGTGTACAGTTTTGTCTGTACTTTAGGAAACATGACTGGATGAAGGCTAGTTTAGTTTTTCAGACTGTCAGCTAGTCAGATGTACATATAACTGGTCAGTACACAAAATAACAGAACCATCAGTTGCTCACCCCACAACATCCACAGCATTTGCAGTCCCCACAGAGGGTTCCAAACAGCCCATTCACCACCTGAATACCACAGAGCACACCCTGGATCAAACTCATGATCAGCAGCAGGGAGAAGAGGGTCAGGTGCCATACGACAATATTTTCGGGTGCCAGACACTTGTTCCACAATGAATGGTCAGTGAGGTAATCCCTACAGGAGAACAAACAGGAAGAAGACAATGTTAGCTCACAGAGCGAGGGGTCTCTCACAGCTGACAGGTTGTGTCATGGCCGAGGTTCTGTTCACTTTGGCACGAATTTCCATTGCCACACTGGTGCTACGTATCTAGAACATGATTTCAGTTTAGTTTCTAGATCAGTTGAAGCAATTGATTTGAAAAGACAAGGCATCAGAAGGGAACAATTGGAGACAAGTTTTTCAGACATTTGAACAATTTGGTGTTCTTGGAAGAAAAGATCATAGTCAAGCATGTGCCAAATAGGTGTTATCTGTGCCAGTGTTTTGCCAGGGGTGTTTTTGCTGTTTTTACTTGATTACAGCATTTTTTGTTGGGGATGGAAGGGTGGTTGGGCATGCAATCCATTACCTCAAACTACAGTTGGGAACAAGGAAGTACACTGAAATAAAGTCAGCGCACACGGCCGGGGCTTGTTCAGCCTCTCACCCACCAGCACCCCCGAGCTGTTCTCCCAGGGCTGCTCTCGATCTGTTCATCCCCAGCCTGGACTGATACCGAGAGTCACCCTGACCTGGTGCAGCACCTTGCACTTGGTCTTGTTAAACCTCATGAGATTCCCACTTCTTGAGCTTGTCCGGGCCCCTCTGGTTGGCCCTGTCCTTCAGATGTCACCTGCACCACTCAGCTTGGTGTCATCCACAAACTTGCTGAGGGTGCCCTCGATCCCGTTGCCTGTGTCATTAGTGAAGATATTAAATAACACTGGTCTCAGTAGGGACCCCTGAGGGACACCACTTGTCACTGATGTCCATCAGGACTCTGAGCTGTTGACCACTACCCTCTGGATGCGACTGTCCAACCACTTTTCCATCTAACAGTTCACCCATCAAATCCCAAATCACCTCCCTGTCCTCCATGTGCCTCAGCACAGCTTTCAGGAGGGTCTGTTCCATGATCTCGCCAGGCACAGGGGTGAGGCTGACAGGTCGGTCATTCCCAAGGTCCTCCTTTCTACCCTTTTTAAAGATAGGGACAATGTTTCCTCTTTTCCAGTCACCTGGGATTTCACCTGACTGCCAGGACTTTTCAAATATGATGGAGAGTGGCTTGGCAACTGCATCAGCCAATTCCCTCAAGACTCTGGGATGTGTCTCATAACATATCACTTCTATTCATCTAGGTGGAATTTATCCCCTTATACTGCTTATCATGGCAAGAGTAACCTAGGAGGAGGCTGCTCATTTCTCTTTATTGGCTCCTTTGAAACTCAGTTGTTCTAATTGTACTTGCTGTTCTTTACATCCATGCTCTTGAGCCTTATGAAGTGTTGGTCTGTGTTGCTGGCAGTTCTAAGAGCTTCTGTATTTTAACCAAACAGTATAATTCCCATTTTTGTACAATGAATTTGGAAGTTGAATCATGTCACAAACTTAAAATATCCTTTTTTTCTGATTGCCTTGTCTTACCCATCCGTGAAAGGGTAGGTCCAGCTGCCTCCAGTGTTACATTTAGGGCCTTTGTTTAGGGCCACTGCTGACAGAATAAAGCAGTATCCAGCTCCCAGAAGTCCAACTGCAGCAAATATTATAGAGGAAAACATCTGATGAAGAGAAAAATAACGTTATTTTTGTTCTTACTGAAACAGTGAAATGCATCCTATTCATGTCAGTGTAAGTTCCCTAAATTCAGCTGTTACCAATCAAATAGTCAACTCCTGAACAGCTAAAACATATTAGTTTGCAGTTGCATAATAATGTGTAAGGCATATGTAATAGGTTTGCAGCATACCTGCATTGGTAAGGAAAAGCTTTCCCAGCGCTGATGTCCCGTACCTGAGGAGGACAGGCCGGGCGCTGGCAGCAGATGGCACTGCTCCCCTCTGGGCCCGCCTGTCCAGGCTCCCCTTCCCCTTCAGCAGCTGTCTTTCTCAGGAGATTACAAGCAAGACTGAAGCCTTGGACAACTCAGGGCATTTAAAAAAAAAATCTACATTATCCCTTTACAAGTTAACTTTGATATCCTGGTCACATTGGGACCAAATAATTATATTTTTCCTTCCCAAGTCTCTCTTCAGGTTTCATATTAGTATGCTTTTATCTCCTCACAAGTGCTTATCAGTGCTAGTTCTAGTACAATGGGGATGGATTGGAAGGTATGACTTTATTTTTCTGGCTTTCTATTACAGCATTTTCATTTTTACTTACTAATATGTAACTAAATCGTGCAAAAACTAATGCCCTGCTTGAATTCTGAAGCACTTATAGCCATTGTATTGGTCTGCAGTGAGTTGGGAATGTAGTGCCCAAATGCCAGAGTAATTTTTAAAACTGCCAGCACAAAATGTCTAAAGAGAACTGTTATGCTCTGCAAAACAAAACAGTGCAGATCTTTAAGAAATTAGTTTTAATTGTGATAGTAACTATGAGTATCTTGAGACAGCAAAAAGCAACAAAGCTTGTTGCTTTGTGGTACCTGTGGCACAACATCAGAGGCATAATACAATTTTTACAGCCTGCTATTTCCACTTCCCAGCACTCAGACAAATGGCAGAGCTGTGTGTCCCACACTTGAGACAGCGTCTGTCTGGTCTCTCAGTGACTGTGAGAGGGAGATACATCTATAATATTGGTAACAATTTTCCTTTTACTTTCTTTGCCATGTTTCCTTTCACTTACCGCAAACCTCTTTCCACAGCTCTGATTACCACAGCATCCACAGCAATCATTATTCTGAAGGCCCAAAAATACCAAGGCAGGGAAGATCATCTACCAGTAACAGAAATACAGTTTGAATTGGGATTAATTCAAGTTACATCTTCTTTTAGATATAATAGTTCTATGTATTTTTTTTCTTATCACTAGATTAAATTACTTATTGCCAAACTGTTGGATGACTTATAACTTATTTGTTTATCAAAGAGGAATTTGCAGTACTGAGAAAATTCAACAATGCAAGTCATGACTGGGGGTTGGGGGGAGGTAAGAATGTTTGAATTCATGTACTTACCAATACACCGGATCCCAAGATCCCTCCAAAGTACCAGACCTCATCTGTAATGTGTCCATTGTCTTGAGCCACTTTTCCTCCAGGGAAAAACAACAAAATGTTAGCGAGGGTGCAGAGCACAGCCAGGGGGATGAGAACGGTTCCCAGGCACTTGGCACAACCTCCCGTGCACATGCTTCTTTGAAGATATTGCAAACACAATTGAAGGCAAAATAAAGTCTCTCAGATGTTCTCAGAACTGCTTTATAAAAAGGAGTTTCTCAGTGTACTTTGCAAAATCCAGTTTCTGCTGTGCCGTTAGAGGAGCTGAGAATGCTCCTGTCAGTGTTGCTGCAGTCGATCCAACATGCCCTGTGCTGCTTATTTATATGTCCTTGCAGCCGTGATGTCAATTTTCTGAACGTCCATAAATGAATTACGTTCAGTGCAGCCTCTCATTTTACTATAACAACCCACAACCTCTGTTAATATTTTACTACAATGGTTGAGACACTTCATAATCCGGGCTCAGGTTATGGGTAGATATCTCTTAGTTCTGGATCGTCATTTTTATGACACATGGTACTTCTTCATACTACAAAATATTTCTTTGCGAAGACTGACATGAAAAGGCATGATGAGTCAGCTGATATTAATAACATACTCATAGTCCAAGTTCTTACATGTCATGAGATGGTTCTGTAATTGAAATAGTAGATAAACTAACTGATACAAAGGTGAGCAGTTATAGACTGATAAAGATACACATCCACAAATCCGAAAAAGTTCTTGGATTGCAGCAGGATGAGAAGCACAATTTTATTGCTGTTAGGCAATTGCACTGTGTCATAGGGTATGTGTTTCTCTGTATTTGGGATTAAAAGGTTGATTTTATATTTATTTTGTGATTTTTGGAAATTGTGCTACAGGATGGAAGACTGTTTGCAGGAAAGACTGAATTAGAAATACTCTAAGATTTAAAGACCCTCTTCACCAAACATTAAGTCATATGGTGAAGATGAATCAAAACCTCAAAGTATTTTCTGTAGATTGTATTTTGAAATTACGGCATATGCTGCATTTTAGGATAACTCACACTTTTTTCTTCCTTTCATAGGAGAATGTTTTGTATCACACATACTTAGGCTTATTCAATAAATGATGGTAAGAAATGAATAATGATACGCATTCTTTAATATATTAGGAGGACCAGAGAATGGTTTCTTTGTGAGGACCACTCCTAGGAACAGACATGTCTTTAGTGCTGAGTGGACCATGATTTCTGAGGAAATCACACTAATTTACTTCGTAAAAGGGTTTATTCAGGTATTTATTAAGATGAATTTTGAGTGAGTTCTCATGTTTGCTTATAATGCAACACAAATGGAGTCAAGGGGATGTTGGTGTGAAGCACAGATCTAGCAGAACAGCCTGGACAGTGACAGTGATGGTTCCTGGTGGACTGGAAGATTCCCACTAATCACAGTGCATTCCATGCTGTTGGCACAGAAGCCGGTAGCTGACGATTCACCAAACAGTTTCTGGGAGTTGGGCTGCATTTGTTTTTCTTGCCTCATCTCATCCCCTCTTAGGCTTTTTGCTAGGAGTGGTGGAATCCGTGAACGACACGTGCTGTTTGGTGCACGTTTAGAAAGCATGGCCCTTTGCATCCCACACTGCTCAGCCAGAGCAGCTGCCTCTGCCAGTGCTGGGAGCTGCCTGTGTGCTGTCCCAGCCATGTGCTGTCCTGCCCGTGTGCTGTCCTGGTCATGTCCCAGCTGTGTGCTGTCCCAGCTGTGTGCTGTCCCAGCCGTGTGCTGTCCCTCCTGTGTGCTGTCCCAGCCGTGTGCTGTCCCAAACGTGTGCTGTCCCAAACGTGTGCTGTCCTGCCTGTGTGCTGTCTTGCCCATTGCCCATTGCATGTCATGCCTGACCTGGGCACGGGACCTGCCTGTCCTCCACACAGAGCAGACACCAACAAAGGCTTTGCCACTGATTGTTGATTGATTGGGCCCTGAAGGAGAGAGGGGCCTCTGGTTCCTTCTGTGTAACAGCAACATGAGCCTGGCCACTGAGGAGGGCATTTTGAAAGGCTCATTCTCATAAATTTACGTTTCATCCCAAGAAGAACGCCTATTTTGCAACCAAAGAGCAGACAGAGAAACAAAGTCCTGACTGAGAGCACTGGTGTTCAGTAGGATGTCAGTCGGGCCGATGTAAGCAGTTTTCATGGCTTTCAACAACCAGCTATTGCTTCTGTGGCAAAGATTCAGAACCTGAAAACTCTCCATGTGTCACCTGATACATTAAACTTTCATGACATTCCCATTTGTTATTCAGCATCTGTAATTTGTCTCGCACTTGTAGTGGTTCTGTTAACAAGCACAGAGAAAATGTTTGCTGTAGCTGGAACATAAATCTTACTTGGCTTATTTCCCCTTCTTTGTTATACTAGAATGTGGCTTTTTTGCAGTTGTGAATCCTGGCTTGCAAGAAGGGGGAAAACTTTAAATTGTATTGCATCCAGCACCCTACCATCTTGGTTCACAGCAAGTGGCTCAAAGGCAGATGCTTCCACCAGGTCCTTGCCAGGCTTTCACAGCACAGCACTCCTCTGCTTTCCCTTCCTCCACTCTCCAACACTGTCAGTGCCACTGAAGGCCACAGGCCCCTCTGTTCAACTCTACTTTTTAAACTATTGCCAACCTTTATGTGAGGGTTTAAGTTACACTTTTTCCTCAGCAGGTGTGGTGGTTTAAGGCAAACTGGCATCCAGCCTGATCTGGAAAACACCACTTAGATTGATTCGAGTTTTTCTCCCAGAGAAAAACTGAATGGTTTGCACCCGATTCCTCTGAAAGCAGAGTTCTTCCCTTCTGTTCTAAGCCCACGTTTTCCAACTCTGGCCATTTATCTGGGAGGAGGACCAGTGACCATTGTCAGGCATTAGCCATAATTGCTTGTCATGGAATAAATGCTTCATCTTGGAGACTCTGAGGGCTGATAACTGGGGTGGTGCCGGTCTGTGGGTGTTGTGTCATCCTGTCCTGTTGAACAGCATTTTTCTAGCAATTGTGGTATCACAATGGAAGGCACTCCTTTCTGATGTGCTATGGGAGGGTGTTTCCTCTTCTCCTTACCTCCTGAGTCATACAAAGCCTAGGCTGTGCAGAGAAAGATGAAATTACATCTTTTCCTTTGGAAAAATAATAGGAATGGAAGGCCACTCAGATAGTTTTGGTACTTTCAGGAAGATGTAAGCGGTGACAATACCTTACCAATTTTTTATTTTGATGTCTCTATTAATTTTTAATTAATAGGTGTGTAGATAGGTGTGTCTTGATCAGTTTTTATGTCAGTTACTGAACTCATTAGACAGTTACAACCAAAGGTCATGAGTTCTTGCTCTTGTGACTTGTGTAGCTGCTTCCGTATTCGAAATGTAGTTTGGATATCTGGAGCTTCATAAGGTTCTGTGACAAGTACTGATCCTCCCTTAAATTGAGCCAGGGAGGGGTTGGGTACAAATTTATGGGTAAGACAGGATTTACAGTAGCATAGTTGAAAACAGGTCTGTTCAAGCCTCTGCTGCTGCAAATAAATTTGTGTGTGTGTTTGTAATATTTATATTTTATGTATCTGGTGACACACTGATACTAAGCAAGAAATACAGAAGTTCCTGCATAAAATCCATCTTAAAACACTTAGCATGGTGTTAGAGTTGCTTTGTGTTGTGCAGTTCCATTGAGGGCTGGAGAGAGGCTGGTAAACTGTGGACCGAATTCCTTTTCTTTGAAGAGAGTGTGGATAAGAATGAGCTGAAAAATATCTCCCTTCATGTGACCCAAATCTTTGTTGCAGTGAAAGATCATCTTAGTACAAGCTCTCCTTTGGAGAGCTCAAAAAAACCCCTCCAGCTCTGATAGCTGTGTAGTGAACACAGCAGGGTGTTCTAAGGGGACAGACCCCGCTCCTCTTGCTGATGATTCAGCCACTCTTTCCCTGTGACATGCATGGATGTGAAATGTATATTGGCAAGAAGCTGAAAGAGTGGAGCTGCGTATGTGCACAAGTAAAAGTCATCATCACACCCATATACACAGCTTTGAGAGAAATTCATCCCCTTTCGTATTCCCAGACTCCTCTGTCAGACCTGGGGCACTGGCTGTGTAGGAGGCACCTTAGAGCAGAGAAGGGAAGATGCCTAAGGAAAAACTGGGTGACATGGGCTTGCCTCAGATGCCAGACTCCCCCAGACTCTGAGGACAGACTGGTAATGTGCAGTGTTTCCCTCGTATCTTTTTGACCTTAGATCTCCTCCTGATGTTTCTGTGCAGATAAGAGCTCATGACAAACGAAGCTTGCATTGGGTAGTGTTTTAAGGGACACATGGACATCACAGTGAATACAGAAAGGCCACATATACTGATGAAGAGTGTTTAGGAGAAGTGGGCTGGAAGGCATGTTAGAACTAGAACAAGCCCAGATTCCTGTCCAGTGTAGGCAGTTCTGCTGCCAGTAGTCAGAATTTAGATGTGATTTCAGCTTCCAAGAAAGATAAAACTTATTAGGTCCTAGAATGCTTGTCTGCTATAGGTGGATAATTGCCAGCTTAGAGTGGGACATTGCTCTGCCTCTCTTGAGAATGGAAGTAGGTCAGATGAAGAAACCTGAATTTTAATGTACTATTCCAAGTAAAGGTTTTATTCTGTGACATCACTCTGATATCTGATAGCCTAGTCCTTTCTTTTTAGAGAAAAATATTTGAAATGAAGTTTTGATTTCCATTGATGTTAGATGTATAAGTTAATGATGTTTTCACACAGAAATTTATTTTACTAATTGGACTTTTACTGCTTTACTGTAACTCAACTTCATCCTTCTTTGCTGTTTTACTGTTCTGCAGTCAATGTTCTGTTACTTTCTGTTTTAGCTGCTCCCACTGCCTGTTCACCAACTTTGCAACAAATGCCCTTTTCTATATGAAACATATTCTGTAAAGCTTTTAATAATCCCCTTCCTTCATTCTCCTCAAGGCATACTCTAACTACGAGGCCAAAAGTAACTGCCAACAGTAGCAAATAGGCATATGGCCTCTAAGCAATCTCTGATGCTTTTCTAATTTATATTACTTTTAAGTAAGTAAAAATCATGTAACTGTGTATGTAATGTCTTTTTTTTCCTGTTACATGTCTTAAGTCTTATGATATTTATTTTTGTTCATTTGCAGAAAAGGCTTTTTGTTATGTATTAGTCAAAATTGCGTTTTTTGTAAACTACAATGTCTGTAGGAGAAAACAAAGGAACTTCAGTATTGTTGTGGACCATCTAAGCATCACTGAAGTACTTCTAGTAATGAGTACTGAGGACTAAAATTCAACCTGAGGTATTTTCCAAAATGGGAGAAAAAGGACTTGTTTCCTTTAGGGCTGCCTGTTATTTATTTCTCTGTG